ATCTTTATGGGAAGACTGTGTCCTCTTTTTTTCACAGAGCAGATTCAAACAGTTGACCTTTCAGTTAGCAAGCCAACTAGGACTCTTCAGAACAGACTGCCAAGGGACCTCTCCACAGTGCTAACAAGTAATGATGTCTAAGGTGTGCCTTAGCCAAGCAACAGTTTTTCCAATTATTTGCTAGGCATCAGAAAGCTGGACAATGATTAAAGATGACAGAAGAATAAATGCCTGGGAGTTGTGGTGTTGAAGAACCCTAAACATCCCCCAGATTACCAAAAGAACAAACAAATGTCTTGGAGAAGGTGCAGGCTGGGTGCTCCTTAGAGGGAAGAATGATGAAACTCTACCTCACATACTCTGGACATGTTGCTAGAAGAGGTCAGTCCCTGGAGCAGGACATCATGCTTGGAAAGGTAGAAGGTCAGCAAAAGACAGGAAGACCCTCAACGAGATGAACTGACATGGTAACCTTAACAGTGGGCTCCAATGTATCGAGATGGCAGGGCTCAGATCTGTTGTTCACAGAGTGGTAGTCATGCTCACAGGCACAACATGAGTTGTAGGTGATTCAACTACGTAACAACAAAAACACATAAAGTGCTTCTTTCTGCACAAAACAAATCTGAAAGATACTCAGTCAGGCTCAGTTTTGTGCAGTTTTGACGGCTAGAGTTAACCTAAAACTGGACTGGACTTCCTGCTGGGTAGATTTCTGCTGCATGACATGGCGGCCCGGTCAAGCATGTTGGGCAGGGGCAGCAGGGAGAAGCTTCTCACTCCATCCTGATTTGCTGGCAGGTGTGTTTTTCACATATACTACCTTTTCCCTTCAGATCACAAAAGCCTCTGCAGTTTGTTTCAGAAGCGCTTGTCTGGGGCAAAGAAAGCTCAGGATCTCCCCCACCTAAAGCAAAAGTGGACATACCACTTTTTGGAAGAAACAAAATCTGGAGCTGTTTTCCCATTGGGGTGAACGTCTCTGAAGGTGGTGGTGGTCACAGCACTCAGAGACAGCTCAGAGGGGCACAGAGTAACCATGGAGCCCACAACATGGCCTCCACACTAACCACAACTTTTTAAAAAGTCTCTTTCGCACAGGAAAAGAATCTTATAATTAGATAATGGAAAGGAAGAAAGAATGGAAAACTGGAAAGAAAAACAAGGACTACAGAATGTTAAAAGCTTACAGCAGTTTAAAGAAGCAGCCTTCTGATTGTGACTTAAAGCCAGGAGAGTCTTGTGACTCCAGTTGGTGCTGGTTTCTGCTACACAGGGGGTAGGGGAATTAGAAGGAGTCATTTTGCTCCTCCCACCCTCAAATTTGCAGTCTAAAATAAAGTTAAAAGGCAAACTTTGGCTATCTCTGTATGTAATTTACAAAGATAATTTTATGGTTTTTAAAAAAACCTGATAATAACCGCTTCTTTTATACCATTCCTTTATTTTTCCTTAAAAGTCAACTAATCCTAAGTACACTAAAAACTTCAAATACAGTACTGGAGCAATTTACAAGACTATTTTTAACTTTTTTGGAAGGAAGCATTAATTTCAGAGTAAGGAGGATCTGGGCTCAAATCCCAGCTTTGGCAATGACGGGCTTCTGATGTTGGCCAAATTACTTCCCTCTGCGCTTCCGCTTTCTCATCTTCAAAACGTGAGCAGTGTTACCGGTCTCTTGAGGTGACTAAGAATTAAATTAAAAACAAGAGTCCCACTAGAAGTAACAAATCTAACTAACTTGTCTTTCTGCTCAGACCACATTTCCACTAGTAATGGAAGCAAAGAGGTAAAATGACAATAATTCTTATTATAAGTGAAAATTGTAATATATTTATATTTATATCTATCCAATTAATATAAATACAATGAGAATGGAATGGAAGTGAAGAGAAGAAATTGAGAGGGCAAAAATTAATGAATGCTTCTCTAAGGAAGGGCTTTTTTGGGGAAAGAAGCATACAGGTATATACAATGTGTATGTGTGTATCATTAAACATCTGAAGAACTGGAAATAACTGTCCAAATGGCTTGTTCCTTTTTGAGTTACTAAACTAGCAGGTGCTTTAAGACATGCTATAAATTTGATCACTGACTGATGGCCACTGGTAACATACTTATAAATATTTTCCTTTATGTCAAGTAACACTGTATAACTAACTACAACCTCCATTGATGGCATTTCTGAATTTTCAAGTATTTTAAACTGAGTACACATAGTTTTAATTTTCATTTAGAAACACTTCAAAATGTATTTTTATGCCATGGACTTTATAATTTTTTTTAACTTTTTTTTTAGTTTTTTCCTTTTTTGTATGTACCATCAAATCAGATCTGACTGGTACAGGAGGAGATTGTTCCTCCTTCTCCAGCAGAGCATCTGGTGGATTTGAGCCATGCACCTCTGGGATTGCAGTACACCTTCTTGTCACTAGGCCACCAAAGCTCGCCAGACTTTATAATTTAATTGAATATCTACAACACTCATACTATTAACATTGTATCATCAACATTCAAGATGCAGTCAACAAAAGACAAGAATCTTGCCTTCTGAAGCAATCTAAAATATAAAGCCTAAACACAAAAAGAAAGATGTGCTTGTCAGATTGGCAAGTATTTTAAAGTGTGAAAATAGGAAGTGACTATAAAGATACAGTGCATCAAGAACTGCTGATGGAAGTATTAAATTGAAATAATTTACTGCCTTCAAGTTAGAACCAACTCATAGTTGAGCCTCCAGCAAATTTTTTGGAGGCTGTAAATCATATGGAAGAATAATGCCCATCTTTCTCCCAAAAATGTCACAGATGGGTTCAAACCATCAGAAATATGACCTATGGGTTTGCAGCACAACTTTTCACCAGACTGTACCGCCAAAATGTCACACACTGCAATAATCGCTTTGAGAAACCATTTGGCACGACTGCAATTTTAAGGATGGAACATGAAAAGGCAAGGTTCAGATGTGTTGTTTATAGAGTCTCTATGAATCAAAGTCAACCTGAAGGCCCCTTATAATAATTCAGGGGGTTCAGGTAGCTTAGTAGTAAGGAGCTGCACTGCCTACCAAAGGAAAACAGTTCAAATCCACCAGAAAAAAGAGGGACACTTGTGTGTAATTTATTGCCTCTGAAAACCCACTGGAGGATCAGCTATGAGCTGGTTCTGACTTGACTGCATACAACAACAGTAACAACTCAGTCTTCTTCCCCTCCCCACACTCACCCCAACTTTCCGTTTTCTCCTCCAAACCCCATTTCTCAGCTCTCTGCCCCTTTCACCAGGGCTTACCCCTCAGTACTCTCCCCAGAGACCACTCTTCTCAGTTCTCTCACTCTAGACAGCATCCTTCAATAACTTTCACATACTCTGAGCACGTCGTTAGAAGGGGCCAGTTCTCGAAAAAGGACATTAAGTTATTAAAAGTAAAGAGGGTAAGCTTAAGAAAGAGACACTCAGCAAGGCGGAATGACACAGTGACTGTAACAACGGACTCAAGTTATGTTGGAAATGGTGAGGACAGGACAGGACTGGGGAGAGTTCAAGTCTGTTGTTCATAGGGTTACTAAAGAGTCAAAATCGACTTGGTGGCAGAGTTGAGCATGCTTCTACTCTTCAAAAAAGTAAGACAAAGAAAGCCCAGTAAACCTCTTGCTGTGGAATCAATCCCAACTCATGCTGTTGGGGTTCGGTGCCAATGATTCAGCTTCATAACCAACCAACATAGCCTTGATCCTTTGATCACAATCTCTACTGTGCTGATACAACTGCCCACTGTTGTAATCACCCTATGAATCCATCTCATTGAGGGTCTTCACCTTCACTGATCCTCTACTTTTCCAAGAATGATGTCCTTTTCCAGGGACTGGCCCCTTATGACATAATGCCTGAAGAATGAAAGACATTGTCAAGGACTGGATAGAACTGCCTATAGTGTTTCCAAGGCCGCAATTATCCTAATGGAAGTAGAATGTCACATCCTTCTGTAAAGCAGCTGGTGGGCTTGAAACACTGACCTTCTGGTTAGGTCTGTTTCACCAGACCTCACGGCTGCTGTTGTCAGGTGAACAGCTGGCCCACCACCAGTTCAAATCCACCAGCTGCTCTACGGTACAAAGATGAGCAATCGATCTCCTGCTGGGTGATTTACCATCTCTGAAAACCAGCTGGAGGGTCAGCTATGAGTCAGTTCCAACTAGACCACAAATGAGCTGTTTGGTTTCTGAAACTTCGATTAAAGTATTAATATTGACACTTTGCAATGAAAGCACAAATTTAACATGATGCCTTTTTCTCCTGTTGCTCAAGCAAACGAAAATAATTACTTACCAAAGGAAGTTAACAATGCAGATAAAGAGGACACGGGGGCTTACTAATATATGGTATGTACCCAATGCAGAAATTACAACCAAATAAGGCGTAAAGGTAAATAAGAGGTTTTTTAATTTGCATCTTTTTTTGAGCTTAATATCTGATCAATTTCCTAGTGGCAGTACCAGGCCAACCAGCCCTCCTGCCCCTGCCTAGTTCCTCCTACAAGTCCCTCATTCCCGAACACCGCTGGCTCTCCCTACAGCATCCCCAATAAGCCACGTCCCCATGCACAAATCCATTTGACCAGACCCACTGAAACGTCAGCTTTCGTTTTCAGATACAAACCTTTCGTTTACGTGATGACCACTGAAAACCTTCCTCCCTTCCAGCCTCACCTCTACTGAGGTTCCGACCTCTGCGCCCGAGGAACCGCACCCACGGGTCCTCGTCCCTCCCCTGGACTAACCCCGCGGCCCTTCCGGCAGCCCATGTGCGGGGCGCCGGAGCTCGCCCCCTACCCTTGGCCCCCTACACGTCTTAAAACCTCCACTGCAACTGCGGACCCTTCTTTCTCAATTCCTTCCTCCCACTGATCCCTAGACCTCCGTGGTCAGCCCAGCAGAGTCCAGCCCACCCTGCTAGGCCCTGACCAGGGCCCCATGGACTCAGGCGCCAATCTTCCTCACCGTGCGGTCCTCAGAACCCTCTTCCAGGTCCCCCTCAGCCTCCTCAATCACCGCAGCCTCCAGCTCTGTGTCGGGGCGACCGAGGGGCTCCTCAGACGCAGGTTGCAACTGCCGCTCTGCCTCAGAAGGTGCCTGGTCCATGGCTGCAGCGAACTCTGTGCGCCTGCGCCACGGTGCTCCACCCACGACCGCCGTCCCGCCCCCTGTCGCCCCGCCCCACCGCCCCGTCCCGCCCACTCCCATCCCTGCCCATTGCTCCTCCCCGTCCACTGCCATTCTGCTCCACCCCCAGTCGTCCCGCCCCTCTGTTAGGCTCTGCCCACCATGTTTTCTACTGTGTTGCTCCACCCCTTTGCTTTGTCGTCCCGCCCCTTTGCTTTGCTACGCTCACTGTCATCCCTCCTAGCTTTTAGGCTCCGCCCCCTGCCGCTCAGTCCCGCCCACTGCCTTCCCGCCCCGCTGCTCTGCACCGCCCACTGCCACCCTACCCTGACGCTCCGCCCACGCCTTCTAGAGCTCGCTGGTCAGGTCCTAAACCCGGAAATATAGGAACATGGCAGTTCTGTGGAAAGAGAAAAGCAGTGACCACTAAAATAGGTGTTGGCACAGTTAGACAACTTCATGGATACGATGACATAAAGAAAATATAAAACTCAAAAGAAATTGAAGGCCAAACCATCTTCCTCTGGAGGTCTGTCTTGACTACCATTGTGGGTTGCATTTTCTCCTAGAAAGATCATGAAAGGAACTCATTGTGCTTGAGTTTGGGACGACTTAGAGTTGATCCTCTAGAGGGTGTTGGGAGGCTGTATGAGAGAGGAGATTGCCCATCTTTCTCGTTGAGGGCGGCTTGCGGATTCAAACCGCGAGAGAGCGCCTTCTCTGCCAGAGAACCATCAGAGTAAGGGATTCTTTCACAGCTGGCTGAGTAGCGCGCTCAGCAAAAGGAATTATCTGCAAGCTTTGGAGGAAAGTGAAGCATTTGGCCGAAGCAGCTTGTACAGTACTTGTGCAGTGTTTCATGAAACCCTGGAGACCTCTGGTTGTGTCTTGTTGAATTTCTGGGACCCACTTCCGAGGCCTTTACCAAATTCGTTTCATGGAGGACAGGCTAAGTGGGAGTACTGGACGGGGTCCCTTGAACGTTTTTCTATGCGCAGTGTGGTTATCCAATTGCCAAGGACAGAAACAAATCATTCTGCCTCATTGGCTATTGTAAACTATGCCACACTATTTACTCCTCCTGGAATACTTTCTCCGGTTTACTGCTAAATTTTCATTAATCCCCCAAAACTTGAAAGGAGCGATACTGTCCCAGTGGAATGTACCAAAAATGTTAGCTCCTCTAGAGAACAGGCTGGCGATGCGCTTCAGTAAAGGTCACGGCCAAACGAATCCTGTGAAACAGCTGTATTTTTTCACATGGAGGTCACTCCGTGTTGGACAGCACCTAACTACAACCTAAACTTCAACTCTCTTGTCATGTCCAAGTGTTAATATCACTTTCTTAATTAATCTGTTACAATCTTTTACATTTTATAATTATTTGCTTATATGTTTGTCTTCTTCAACTAGACTTTGGATTCCTGTAAGGCAAGGACTTGATTGTTGTTGTTGTTGTTGTTGTTGTTATGTGCCATCGAGTCGCCTGCGGCTCATAGCGACCCTATGTACAAGAGCTCTAAATGTCATTCTATCCTGTGCCAACCTAGCCATCTCAAAGGCAGTCATTCCCACCACTCCACTCACAGAATCGATCCATCTCATCGAAGCTCTTCCTCTCGTTTGCCGCCCATCCACTCTGCCAAACATGATGTCCCTCTCCAAGGACCAGTCCCTCCTTGCAACATGCCCAAAGTATGTCAGACGAAGTTTCAGAATCCTTGGCTATAATAAATCCAAGATGTTTCATGCTAGGCAAACTCTCAAGAAACAGATTTTTAAAAGGAATCCTGTTAGCCTAGTGGTAAGAAGTTCCTCTGAAATCTGAAAGGCATGAAAGGTTTGAATACACCAGCTGTCCGGTGGGAAAAGGATGGACAATCTCCTAGAAGATTTACTGCCTCTGAGGGTCAGCCATGGGTTGATGGTACACAACAAAGAGGGAGGATATTTTTCCAGGGACAGATTTATACCCATTATCTGTGCACTTTTCCAAGTTTTGAGGTACCCACGTGGGTCCTAGAGGCATTAGGATAAATGTTGTGAACTGGACTGGTCTCACCTTGCAGTGAGGTAGAATGAAGAGACTCACCAGCTTGACAAAGCGTAAGGGGAAGCAGCAGTGTTGTGTGTTTCTAAAAATTAAAACCAAGAAGGTAGAGAAGCAGCTGATTCCTATTCTCTCATAGACTTTTTGCTGTGATATGGAAAAATTTCCTCTCAAGACTGTATTTATTTAAAGCTGTTTCAGGTGTGTATAACTTTTCCCTTTTATAATCTTTTTGGAGGGTAGGAGGGCTGACAGCACAACTCCTTACCACTTGGCCAGTAGAGCTGGGTGGTTCTTTTTATATTCTTGAGAGATAGCCTTGAAGGAACCAAATTTTAAAAATCATAAAGGTACTTTAAGAGTCTAAAATCAAGGCAAAAATAACAATTGAGTAATTGTTTTTCTTATCCGAGCATGTTGTTGTGTTGTTGTTGTGTGTTGTTGAGTCAGAACCTACCCATAACTGAACCTCAGAGCAGCTGTGGATTTGAACTGTTTGCCTTTAGTATTGCAGCACAGTTTCTTACCACTAGGCCACCAGAACTCCTATTTGAGTATATGTTCCTTTATGTGTGTGTGTGTGTGTGTGTGTGTGTGAGAGAGTGAATGTGTGTGAGTGTGGGATGGGGTGGCAAATGAGAGAGAGACAGGAGAGATCGCGCTGTTGTTACTGTTGGGTGCTGCATCCAGTTCACTCCAGCTCACAGCTGATATACAACAGAACAAAAACTCCATCTGATCCTGCATCATCTTCACAATCTCTTAAAGCAGCGCTTAAGTCCTTTGTTCCAGTCACTGTGCAGATGATGATCCATTTGTTGCAGATCTTCTTTTCTTTTGCTGATACGCTTTTTCAAGCATGATGTCCTTCTCAAGGGACTGGCATGTCCAAAGCCCAAGCAAGAGCTGAGACCCAGCATTGCTGCTTTGGAGTAACACTCTGATTGCACCTTCAAGACAGACAGATTTATTTGTTTGTATTTTAGTAGTATTATTTTTACCACTAGGCCACCAAAGCTCCCTTTAGTAGCATTTTTTTAATTAATTTTAATAAACATTTACAGAGATTTTAGATTTCCATTCATTCATTGCCGCACTTTTCTCCCTGCCCAACCCTCCCCTCCAGTTCGCTCCCCTCTCCGAAAAGAAAAAGGGAAAAAAAATTCCTTTATTGGTATACAATTCCCCATCCCTCCCCTCCCCCCGACTCCCCGCCCTGAGTACACTTCTCTAGTAGCATTATTTTTTTAAAAAAAGAAATTTACTTTGGTTTCAGTGAGAGTTTAAAACATTTATTGTTTAATCAATCATTCATGCACATTTTGTTCCATAACATTGATTGCAATAGAGAGTGTGATTGTCCATTCATTCCACATTGTCTTTCCCAACACTCATATTACTGAGTATTTATTATCTATTAAATGTCTACTCTCCCCTCCCCACTTAGGTAACCTAGTATGATTCTGTACATAAACTTATCTTTAACTGTTTATAATAATGGGTTAAAACAATTATTTGTCCTTTTGTAACTGACTCATTTCATTCAGCATAATGTCCTCTATATTAATCCATGTTATACAATGGGTAAAAAATTCTTAACTGTTTCTCAACATTGCATAGTACTTCATTTTAGAAATGTACCATAGTTTCCTATCCATTTATTCTTTGATGGCCATTTGGGTTGTTTCCAACTTTTTGTTATTGTGAATATATTGTTGTTATTAGGTGTCATCAAGTAGAGCATGGCTCATAACAACACAGTATGAACAACTGATCTAAACCCTGAACCTTGCCATCCTCACAATCTCCTACATGCTCAACCCCATTGTCACAGTCACTGTGTCAATTCATCTTAATGGTCTTCCTCTATTTCTTTGACAGCAGATGTTCCCAATGCAACATGTCTTTTTTTTTTTTTTAAGGAGTGGGGGGGGGGGTGCGCGCGCGCGCACACACGCACTGTTAAATCTGACTGGTACAGGAGGAGATTGTCCCTCCTTCTCCAGCAGAGCATCTGGTGGATCCTAATGGCACGCCTTTAGGATTGCAGTGCAACTTCTTGCCACTAGGTCATCAGCGCTCCCTGTCTTTTCACTTTTTGACTGCTGTTATCATAGGTTTTGATTGAAGATCCAATCAAAATGTAATCATTGACAACTTCAATCTTTTCTCCATCTCTCATGATGTTGTTGCCTATTGGTTCAGTGGTGAGGGGTTTTGTTTTCTTAATGTTGAGATGCTTTCTATGCATCAGAAAACTGGACAATGACTAGAAGGAGAATTGATGCTTTTGAACTGTGGTGCTGGAGAAGAGTTTTGAATATACCATGAACGGCTAAGACAACAAACAGGTTCATCCCAGGATGCTCCTTGGAGACAAGGATTCTGAAACTCTGTCTGATATTCTTTGGACATGTTGCAAGGAGGGACCAGTCCTTGGAGAAGGACGTTATCCTTGGAAGGGTGGAGGGACAGCGCAAGAGAGGAAGATTCTCAATGAGATGGATTGATTCAGTGACTGGGGTAATGGGAATAGGTGTGTCGGAGGCAATGAGGTTGGCTCAGGATAGAGCAGAATTCAGAGCTGTTGTACATAGAGTCACTATGAATCACAGACAACTTGATGGCACATGATAACAACACAGCATTTTTTTAAAATGTCTTTTTTTTCTTCCTTAAATTCTCTTACAAATTTCTTTTTTTTTTTCTCTCACAAATTTCGAAGTCTCTTCGGACAAACCAATTTTGTCCTTTCTTTCTTCCCTATCTGTAATGGCTTTTCTTTCTTCATGGATGATATCTTTGATGTTATTCTCAGCTTGTCTTGTCTTTGGTCATTAACATTTACTACATCAAACCTAATCTTAAAATGGTATTAAAATGCAATTGAACTAGATCCATGATCTTATTTTGGTTCTCTTAGCCTTGT